TTTTTTTTTTTTGTCTATTCTTACTCCCTTTGTTTAGGCTTATATTTGTTACCTTTTTTTTTACATCCGATTTTTTATTTGACACGTTTTATTTATCTTGCTTTTCGTTTTTTTTATCTATTACTATAAAATATAGTTAAGAAAAAATACAATTTCGGTAAAGTTTTTCCCGCTCAATTATTTCGAAAATTACCTTTTGTGGAAACTTTTTTTGAATTTACTTCACAAATCCCGCCTAAGGTTTTGATTTGATTTGAATAGGAAAAAACAAAATTCAGATTATTATTACACACCTTTTTTAACACTTTTTTTTAGGAAGAAATTTGGTTAATTTTCCCTATTTTAACTTCTTCCTTTTATGAAGAGATTTGGTTAATTTTTTTTGTGAAATTCGTTTTTTACTATTTGACATATTAATATTGGGTATGTTTTGAAAAGATTCCTTTATTAAATAAACAATTCTGTATGTTTTAACTTCCTATTTTTTAGGTTAGGATTTGGTATTTAGTTATTGGTTAAATCCGATTTTTAGAATAAGCCTAAATAAATATATTTCTTTTTTTTAGGATGTGATTAAGGAAACAATTCCATAAAAATATGGATTCTTTAAAATATGATATATCATCTTCTACATAACTGATATCTTTTGGATACATTTGAAAATAATTTCCATTGTTTTAAAAAGATAATGTAGGATATGTTTTGAAAAAGATTCTTTTATTAAAGAAACAATTCCATAACATATTGGATTTTAATATTTTGTATGCAAATAATTACTTCAAAATTTTGCTTATTTAAAACAATTCAAATTAATATTGGATATTGTAGATCACTATTATTTGCTTACTATATATTTAAAATCTAAAATAGGTTGGATTGGGTTTAAGGTGATAAACACGACCTTTTTTGTTGTGGGAAATCAAACAAAAAGTATACTATTTCAGGTATAAAATCTGATTCCATTTGATAAGCTCAATCAAATTTGATTATGACCGAATCAAACAATTTTGAACAATATTAAATTAATCGATTACTATTGAATTAATTTTTTTTTATTTTCACGTCGAAAATTTTCTAAATACTATTTTTTTGTGGAAAATATCGGCTGGATGAAAAGGTCAAATTCAAATTAAAAAAAATTGTGATTTTTAAAAATATATTTTGTAAACCTTAAGTCATAAAAATATGGTCAATGATATCTTTAAATACAACGGGTAAATATGGTCAATAATACCATAAATTATTTTTTATATTCGGGTAGTTCAACTTAATTGATGTTTTTTTTTCCCAAAAAGTATGATGATCATATAATTAATTTTATCATATATCTAATGTTTGATGTTATTAGTTTAGTTGGGATACTCATTATATTCAAATAAATAATATATAATTTTTCATATTTAGTATTTTTTTTCTTATAATAATGAGCTGTTAAACATAAATAACTATGTTTAATATAAAGTCTTAGAAAATGTTTTAAGTTAAAGCCCGTTCGTGCATCGCACGGGATACACACTAGTAACTAAAGTGTAATTAAATTAATTATTGTGTAATTTCCCAATCCAAGCCTTAAGATTAACTAAAATCTAATTGCTATAATTGCTTAAGGAATAATTTTTAGCACAGAAAGTTCGTCATATTATTTATAATGAACCTTAATTCTTAATTTTACATTACTAAATGGTTTCCTAAAAATTTAATAAAATAAATTGTTAAGGGGGTGATTGTTTATGAATTTAATAAAATAAATATCATTTCCAATCATTTTTCTCATACTTTACATCAAATCAACTTTAGTTATTTTATTTAAATATTATTTTATTATAATCACTAACAACTAACCACGACATCTTCTTTTTAAATTAATTATAGTTAAAAAAAATAGTTAAATCTATAAACAATCACCTGTAAATACTTAATGATTCGAGAAAAGGAACATGTCGGTACTCTGTAGGCCACAAGCTGATGGCCTGATAGACCGCAATCTATTTACAAATATACCCTTCCTCAAATCATCAAATTACTGAAATAGTACCATACTCTATTTTTTTCCAACAAAACTGCAAAACACTCCTAAAGAGATGCAAACAGAACAGATACAATAATGTCTGGTCTATCTGCAGCTGGTTTGGGATTTTCATGGTCCTCTAAACCAACTCAACAAAAAACAAACGACAATAAAAAACCCACATCGAAATCATCAAAATTTTCTTCTCAAAATCTCAGAGCCCATTGTTTTCCCCAAGTTCCAAATTTTCTCTACACCCATCATCTCTCTTCCTCAGCTGCAACCTCACCCTGTGGAACTCTTGAAAAACCAGCCAAGATTTTAGCAAATCCATGGCTTATAGAAAGGCTTGTGCTTGCTGATTTGAATCCTGCTACAGCAAAGCTGGCAATAGGGTTTCTTGGCCCTTTTTTGTCTGCATTTGGGTTTTTGTTCATTCTGAGAATAGTGATGTCTTGGTACCCTAAACTTCCAGTTGAGATGTTCCCTTACATAATTGCTTATGCGCCGACCGAACCGTTACTCGTTCGGACGAGGAAGATTATACCGCCGTTGGCTGGAGTTGATGTTACCCCTGTTGTCTGGTTTGGTCTGCTGAGTTTTCTCAATGAGATTTTAGTTGGCCCACAAGGGCTTCTTGTTCTTCTGTCTCAGCAGGTTTAGGACTTGTTTGTGCTGTGATGAGGGATATAGTTTTCTTGAACAAATCGTAGAGTTCGGTTTGCGTGTGTTGTGTTTTCTTGTTTTTGTTTTGGTGAATGTATGTATATGGTTGTAGAGAAAGAAACTGAATGATTATGGGATATGGTGTGGAATGAATCTGATGATCAAGTTCAGCCATCAATGCGTAATTGTACGTTGTTTGGATTTGTTTCGATTTGAACTGAGTTTTGAAAATTGTGTACGAGATTTCGCCTTGATTGTTGATGGATTTGAATTCAACAATCAAGCGATTTATGGGAATGTGGAATGAATACAACAATCAAGTTGAGCAAGAGCATGAATAACTGTACATAGTTTGAACTTGTTTCGGGTTGAATTGAATTTTGAAAATTCGGTTTTGAGTTTGGCTTGATTGCCGATGGATTTGAATTCAAACATGCCTGGTTGCAAACCAGAGCCAAACACAAATTGAGTTAAATAGCTAGATATTTATACATGTAATTAACTATTATCTCTACTGACTGAGTTGAGGTACAACGGAGTTTTGTATCTTACAAAAATCAACTCAGGTTGGTTCTCTGTGTTCATGAATAGGCTAGAAACAAGCTCTTAACAACTAAGCTCGAACCTTTAACTCGTTTTCCCTTCAGAATTTTCAAGCGAAAAATAAAATACAGTAAAGTAAAAAGATATTCTCCAATGACTCAATGAGAAAAAATGAGAGGTTCGAATAGGATTGACAATGGTGGGTTTATGATAGAGTTCTGTGTTGCAGACACTCTGCTTCAAATTTCTCATTGATGTTTTCGACAAGAGGATAAATAAGAGTATAGGTATTCGAAGAAATTATCTTAATGTTACAGATTGAATTTCGATGAAGTTACATCAAAACAAAAGGCAGAGAAGAACTACCGACTGAATCTAAAAACAAACCAAAACTTGATAATACATGAAGGCTGCTGACCCAGTGAAACTGTGGAATTCTGCAGATATTGAACTCGGGCGATTTCGGATCTTGTCTGCTTTCGTTTTCTTTCTCGAATTCAGTTACTAAAATTTGGAAATGGACAGATTTTATGGCGGGAAATGCTCGACATCCCTTGCATATCTGATTCCACTTAGAAGATCTCGAGCAGTTTCCTTCTCCTATATCGAGCAATATAATAAAACATAATGTCTGAACAGTCTATAAATGAGATTAACTTTAGTAATGCGCATCAGGTAGAGATGATTACAGCCACTAATAACCTTCCAAAATTATGGTATTAGTATTACAAACATCCCATTTAGGTTTGGATTTTCTTAATAAATATTATCCAGATTATTAATTAGCCTCATCTGGTAATATAACGACATCAATAATAACAGAAACCTCTGAGGTCTAGGAAAAACTGAAGCTTTAGAATACATTTAGCGCAAATACGTCCTTCGAAAACACAAAAAGGGTCAGTTTTTGGGTTGGAACTTTCAGAATTTTCCAAGTTTCTTTAGTAATTAACCGAAAATGATAAATGACTAAGCAATGAGATATTATAAAAAGTAAGAATAATAATATATGAGAACTTACCGGGCCAGTGTAGTCAAGAAGGCGGGTACAGTAAACCTCGGCCTCATCAAATTTCTTCCGAGTCTTACAATGTTGAGCCAAATACATCAAAGCCTCAACCATGTTCGGTCCTTCTCTCTCCTCAGCCTCCATCCTCTCCAAATCCTTCCTGTAATAAAACGCGGCCTCGTCAGCTCGACCAAGCTCACAATGAAGCTTTGCCAGCTGGTGCAAGGCAATAGCTTCCCTGTCATTACAATCAGCCGCCCGTTCATAGCACTTAATGGCCTCCTCAAGCATGTGAAGTTGTTCGGTTTCGTAACACTGAGCCATTGCAATCCACAGCCGAGAATCACTCGGCTGCAAGAAAACAGATTTTTTAAAATAATGAAGAGCGTAGAAAGGCATTCCCATCATCTCGTACGCTTGCCCTAATCCGTACCAAGCCCGATAATCACACGGGTTGATATCCACAGCCCGTCGATAGGCATCAACGGCTGACGATGTATTTTTCATCTCCACATACTCATGGCCCATCAGTGTCCATGCGGATAAATAATTCTTATTTAATTTTAAAGCCCTCCGGAAATACATGACCGATTTTTCGTGCTGCCCCTTTAAGCTGTAATAATTACCCACTATACAACATGACTCGGGCCGGTACTTATCGGTTAAGAAAACACGGTGAGCGAGATAGCTAAGTGCCGAAAAGCATTCTTTGGCGTAAAGCACATTGGAGTACATGTCCATGTCCTCGATTCTGTAAGGATCGTTTCGTAAAAGCTCCTCGAATATAACTTCCACTTGTTCGAACTCCCTGAGGTTGTACTGAGCTTTCGCAATCTGGGCTTGGATATAATTGCTGAAAGTGAAAGTCCCGTGCAGATACTCGTATTTGGCTAAGGACTCGTTGTGCATGCGGAGCTCTTGATAGGCGCTGGCTAGGAAAAAGTCCTTCATCCAGTGGTTGTTGAGGTTTAGACCGTTTAGTGTCTCAATTGTGGTGCATAATGTTTGAAGCTCAGACCAAGCACTCCAGTTCCAAGGGTAGTTGTTTACGGACTCGACAAGAACAGATCTTGCGAGATTTTCAGTGCCTTTCTCCTTGAGGACCAGACCGTACACGTAAAGACCAAAAGGGTCGATTGTACCGTTTTTGCGGAGGTTTGACAATTCTCTCTCTAGAGAGACGAGCTCTCGGTTGGTGGCATCACTCTTGCCTAGAGGTCCCTCGAGTTCTATCATCTCTTCTTCTTTTCGCTTTTCTCCAGCCTTTCATGAGTAAAAATTTTAGTTAGGCCTTTGAGAAAATAATATGCTGACTTACAGTTGGATGATGTAGATGTAGATACAGAGGGACCAACCAGAATGCAAACACATATTGGAATAGAGTAAGCATAAATGTGGGTTTTGCATTACGAGAAGTGGTGAAGCACAATAAGGTGATATAATGAAAGAACTGAATGTCTGAAACTCATAAATCAGTCCTCATAATACCCACCAACTAGTTTTTTGTTGCAATCTATATAATTTCGTTACCATCAAAATATGAATCGTTCTGCCCTTTTCTATCCGCCTTACAACGTTTGTGCAATTGGATATGGAGTTAAATCGCATTGTATCCAGTCCAGATTCAAGTTATTTCTCATAAACCAAATACACCCGTCAAAACTTTTCATCCTCATAAACTAGACATATCTATGTTATTTTTTTTCTTCCCACCATACATTATATAAGCAAAAGCAACAAACATTTCATTAGAAGTTACGACAAGGAATTCAAGATTTTAACTTTCATCCAATACACAAAGAATACAAGCTACAAGTTTACCCAATTACTTGAATTCGGTAAGAATCAGATGAAAGAAAGCAAAACAAACATTTCATTAGTCACTACGACAAGGAATTCAAGATTTAAACTTTCAGCCAATACACAACGAATGCAAGCTGCAGATTTACCCAATTACTCAAAATAGGTAAGAATCAGATGAAAGAAAGCAAAACGCTATGTTTCAATACAGCCAGCAGTAACCTCAATTGAGTCTAGAAAGCAAGAAACCATTATCAGCACAACAATTTAACTTAAAAAGTGACAAACAAATCGAGAAAACCAACCAAATAAAGTGCATAGCATCGCAAGAACACGGCTTTCTTGCCCGTCTGGTCCCTCAGCACATGAGCAGCCCTTCTATACTCCCTGCAGTCAAAGTAAGACTTTGCCAGCAGATAAAAATCGCCATCCATCATATCATAATCGTACTCCTCGGGCACCGACATTGTTGGGGTGGTGACGTATGAAACTCCGCCGGAAGGGGTGGCGGAGGCGTCAGCCGGGCCGGCCGTCCGATAGCGGCGGCGTATGGAGGAGCTCCCCCGCTGGAATCGAGTGTGTGAAGGGGGGTGCTTTGAGGGGTCTTGCTCTATCCCCATTAACTGCTCCGCTGCCCTTCAAGCAGATAAAATCTTGAAATCAGTATCGAGGAAAAACTAATGATTTTTGTCACGAATGTGGGTGACGTACCATTTGGCGGCGGAGTATAGGCCGCGGTCGCTGAGGTGGCGGACGGCGGAGCGGAGCTCAGTTCGGCAGGTTTCTCTGGAAGCCATTGTTTTTTACAGAGTAATACTCACGCAATTACTTCAGCCGCCCTCTGGTTTTCTTTGATTCAATCTGCGTGAGAATTCTGTGGGAGTTGAAATTGGGATTGAATTGGAGAAGAACAAAGAGTGTTTTGGGGGTTTTTCTATCGGCAGCCGCGCCGTGAAAGTGATTTGAACTTAGCCATCTTTAACAATAATACCCTTACCAATAAGATTTTAAAATTTATAAGCCTCGATTTTCAAGATTCAACTAAATTTACAATAATAATACATCTCCCAGCCTATGTTGTTAATTATCCCACATCTTTTACACTTAATTTTTTATTTTTTGGGTAGCCAGCCACGGTATCCGGAGCTATGCTCCGACTAATCTGTTGGGTGATCCGGATCACACACCTGACAGTGGTGGGTGAGTCTCCCAACAAGGGTTTTCTGCAATCTTTTACACTTACTTTTAAATAATTACTACAACACTCGTGTATTACACAAGTGCTTATTAAATTATTTTTTAAAAAATTAAAATTAATGAGACAAGGTGGTTTAAAATTTAAATACTGAAAAAATATATATTATTATATACTCCCTCCTATTTTTTTTAAATGTCTTTCTAACTTTATCAACTATTTGCCAAATAAATGTCGTTTTGGATCTTTTGTACATATTTTTCCATTATTACTCTTCACTTTTTCTCAAAACATTCATCTCTATCTTCATTAAATAAGGTTATTATTGACAAAAAAAATATTCTTAATTAGTGTGCAACTTCTCAAATTGACATATATTAAAAGTAGGAGGTAGTATTTCACTGTGACACTTGTTACTTGTGCATGTGCCATATTTATAATATTTTTCTAACTCATAATGTGTAACTACTTTAAGCATAAATAAATAATATTATTTTTATAATTAAATTTAATAAAATATTTTGTTATTATTATAAAGATAAATATAATTTAGGGTGTGATTGTTTATCAATTCACTCCAAAAAAATCCAACCAAAACTCAAATTTAACTCAACTCCACTATCCCCAATATTATCTATATAATTAAATAATATCAATCAATCATTCAACTAATCATTCTCGTTGGAAAAAAAAAAAATAAGCATTCTTACACATCACATCAACTTTAATTCACTATTCATCCACTCACATAATTTTAACGAACTATCACTTTTAATCATTTTTCTCTTTCTTTTACATCATATCAACTTTAATTATTTTGTTTTAATTATTATTTTAATATATCCAATAACAACTAACCATACTAATTTTTTTCAAAATTAAATATAGTTAAAAAAAACAATTAATTTCTAGATGAATTCATAAACAATCACCCCCTTATTTATTTTATACATGCAATATGGATGTCAAATATAAATTCATCAAAAGAGGATTAATTTGATATATTATTTATGTAAAACCAATAAGAAATACAAAAGTTATAAAATTTTAAAATATATTTACAATTGAATGGTTATAATAGGAATGATATTAAAATAAAACTAATACATCTAAAATTATCATAAATAATCAACATATTTATTGTAATCCGAACCTAATTATTTTTGGATTGAAATTAAATTAAAATCTATCCAAGCCAAATAACGAAGCATGAAATTTTGACATCTAGGATCCCGAAGCATGCGAGCCTACCACATAGGCTCAGCACATTCGAGAATTATATATAGGGAGATATTATATTATTATTTTATTTGAAAATAAAACTTCATTTATTTTCATAAGCCTATATTTTTATCTATTTATCATAAATAAATAAAAATAAATTGTTACAATTATATGACATTATTTTTAATATATATCTATATAAGGAGAGAACATATTTACAAAAATAATATCAAAAAAATCAACCAGCATTTATTACATTATATTTTTTGCAGTTTTATATTTATTTTTTAATTATTCCCAAATAATCGATAAACTTAAATGCACCCTAAATCCATGAGTTTTGTGGATATAATTTAGGTAAATTTCGACCAATGTTTACAATTTTACAAAATGCCAAAATTCTTTCTCATTTTTTATTAAAAAAATCTAATTGTCATAAAATGAGAATTTTGAATTAGGCAAAATATTATAACATGTATCTTTACCTTATTGCAACAGATCATGTTCATTAAAAGAAATCAGATTGCACATAATTAAAATTTCAAATTAAAAATTAAAATTAAAAAATACATTTTCATTTGGATACTACTTTCATCAGTTCGATTTTTTTAACATAAAATAGAGTCAAATAATATTAATTTGAAATTCAAAATGAAATCGACTTTGGAACATCCTAAAAATTTGGGTTTTATTTAATCCTCTAGAATACAAATTTGAAGTTAACTGCATACACTTACACAATTTTCCTTCCTTAAATTAAATAATTAACAATTTTAAAATAATAAGGCTGCAGATTTTCAAGAAAGACGTTTTACAATCTCCGTTGTATTTGGCTATGCAAATTTCATAAATGCATTATAAATCGTATCATATATATCATGCTACATAATTTAATTGTTGTAAAAGACCAAACAACTAATACTTTGTACAATGTTGTATTTAATAATATATAAGTTACATTTTGGTTTATTGCACTACACGTGTTTTACGTTTTTTTCAGTCATCCAATCATCAAATCTAAATGCTTACACTAATAAAACTAGCTAGCTCGTGCGTGACACAGGTACCACACTAGTTATAATGTAAATGTTACAAATAATATAAAATATTGTTATAAAAAACATTGTGCATAAACTGTAAAAGACAACAGTTGGCTCCACAGTGGAACCAACCTTCTATATACAACAATTAAATCATTCCGTATTAATATCATTAGTATTATTTAAGTAATAAGAGAATATGATATAATTTACTAGTTGTATATAAAATGTTGGTTCCACTGTGGAGCCAGTTGTGGTTTCATAGCAAAAAACCAAGCTCATAGTGCAGTCAAATTTGTATATACAACAAGTAAACCATACCATATTCTCTGAGTACTTAAATAACACTAATAATTTTATTAATATGATATGATTTACTTGTGTATGTAGAAGATATGGAGCCAGCTGTTGGCTTCATAGCAAAACCGATCAAGAATATGGCATACGAAGAAAGAAGAAAACAAAATCAAAATCAAAGTCAAATCACGTAATCGTTATGTTCTCCTTAAGATGAACTTGTCCTCAAAATACCTAAGGTTAACGATAAACGTCTTCAAAATACAACGACTCTTGATTTGTATATAACGGTATTTCAAATATACAAGTCTTCGTTGTGTTTTATTGATTTTTTTCGTTAAGTCTTGAGAGTTTCACACAATATTATTTTTCAACGAAGACTTGTATATTAGAAATACCGTTATATACAAGTCAAAAGTCGTTGTATCTTGAAGACGTTTATCGTTACCTTAGGTATTTTGAGGGACAAGTTCATCTTAAGGAGAACAGAACGATTACATAATTCGACTTTGATTTTTATTTTGTTTTCATCTTATGCCATGTTCTTGATCGATCTTGCTATGAAGTCAACAGTTGGCTCCATAGTGGAGCCAACCTTCTACAAACAACAAGTAAAATCATACCATATTAATAAAATTATTATTGTTATTTAAGTACTCAGACAATATAGTATAGTTAACTTGTTGTATATATAGAAAGTCGAATCCACTATGTAACCAACTATTGACTGCATAACAAAACTGTATTACTGATATTAATATTATACACAAAGCCACAAACTACACTTCCCAAATACTTTGAAGTAACAAATATAACAAGATCCACCCACTTGCCATCCAGATTGTTCCTTTCTAATTTCAAACCATTTCAGTTATATGCCATAATCAAAGGCTACTACTTTTTACCTAAAACAGATCCAAAATTAACAAAACTATCAATAAAATATTTAGAATTTCTAATAGAGTATTAACAAATACTCAAATAGAGGTGGCAAAAGGAAAATCCAGCCACGTGAACTTGATTTTAGTAAAATTAATCAACCCCCAGATTCCTTGCAGACCTTACTACACACGAATTTCCACTACTACCCCTCAGCCCCATTTCACCCTCACGCCACCTCACCAAGGTCAATCAAGTAATTTCTCCCTCGCCGGCGCGTCCACCACAAAACTCCGTTAATGGATGTTCAAACTCCCGCTCATTCGCATGGCGGATTTTCAAACTTTCAAAATCCCTCCAGTTGAATTTACCTTTTTTTCTTTCACAAACCCTCGTCCCCGCCATCGTCAACAAACCCCTTCTTAACGGTCTCCACAAGCACGCAGAGACACGCCGTAGTGCGTGTTCTTTTTTTCACTGTGTAAAGTTAATAGTTTGCGTCAGATTTACATTTGCATCTGCACAGACGGTGGAGATATCGCCCGGAGGTTAAAAATGGCTTTGCCGTTGACATATGTAGCGGCTACGGATTCTGGATCTAGAGAAACACCTTATTGCCGCAAGCAAAAATCGCTCGGGCTCTTATGCTCCAAGTATGTGTTTTCTTGAAGGCCCTCTGTGTGTAAATTGTGCTCATCTAGTTTGTGTTGTTATAGATGTGATTGTTTGTGCAGCAGACCCTTTTGTAATTGATTTTTGATCTGGGTTTTCAGTTTCTTGAGCTTGTATAATCGTGATGGAGTTGAGACAGTTGGGCTCGATGATGCAGCCTCGAAATTGGGTCTAGCCGCTTACCCTATTTCTTTATTTTTTTGTTCACCTTTTGGGCTTTCCCGTTGACTCGCTTCCCCCCTTCCTTTTTCCTTTTTTTTTTAATCTATTATTATTTCTTGATTTTTGACGGAGATTATCTGCAGGGGTGGAAAGGAGGCGGATCTATGACATCGTGAATGTTCTGGAAAGTGTTGGCGTAAGAACTTCTAATTTTTGGATACCCTTTTGAATTTTGTTGGTGAATGTAGAATCAATTTTGAGCTGAATGTCGGGAGTTTTTTTGTCTCTTGATTTCAGATTCTCTCGAGGAAGGCGAAAAATCGATATACTTGGAAAGGGTTTGGGGCGATCCCTAAGGCATTAGAAACCCTAAAGGTAAATATTTTATACTCTAATAATTTTCTGAAACTATTTTGAGTCTTCTTAGTTGTTTTGAAATTTTTCTCCACATTTTGATTTATGTGTGTGGTGCAGAAAGAGGGCTTAAGGGATAATGGACCTGCAGGCGATGCAAGTTGCTCCGAGAAAGTATGTCTTTGTGTTACTTACTTCTTATATTATTCATTTTTCTATTTACTTGTTTCTAATTTGCAGTGAATGTATTTTGGTAAACTGAGTTTATTAGGGTTGGAGTTTCCATAATATGGTTGGTTTTCTGTCATAATAAGAAATTAAACTATTCAATTTTCTTGAAACCAGGTTTCAGATGACGATGAAGATGATATGTCGGATATGAACAGTTTAAGTCAAAAGTCAGATTCTAGTTCTGTTCATAGATGTGCCGTGGCACCTAAAGCTGGTACTAGACATTTTCATCCAAGCCAATGGTCTTTCTTATTGATTCATCTTAGTAATATGCTTTAGTTTTCCTTATTAGACAGAGCAGTTAAAAGTTGAATCTTTGTTTTCTTTATATAGGTGACAATAGGAAGGAAAAATCTCTTGGGCTTCTTACACAAAACTTTGTCAAGCTTTTCCTGTGTACTGATGTAAGTGTGTATTTTGCTTACCTGTCTTGTGGTGATCTACATACTTATAACCTTTTAGGTTCATATTCTGAAAATTGATTTTGCTCCTTTTTCAGATGGAAATGATCTCTCTAGACGATGCTGCAAAGCTCTTGCTTGGTGATGGAAAACATACAACAATGACTACTAGAAGTAATACACCTTTTGCATTTACTTTCTTCTTCTTGGTATTTATGTGCATTATAATAACAAAGATACAAGTTTATACTTTGTTAACACTGCCTTTATGCACCACTGCAGCAAAAGTTAGAAGGTTGTATGATATTGCCAATGTGTTATCCTCCATGAAATTTATTGAGAAGGTATGATTCATCTGATTCACAGACATGCTATACTTGCATTTGGATGGAAGCATTTGAAACTAAGGGTATTAAAACCCATTGTGTGTTTGAATACCAAGTAATTTAAAAACCATAGAAACTCGTTAGAAACTAACTTATTGAATTGTTTAAATTTGAATTATTGCTCCCAAGTTCTTTCCTTGAATCCAAACCCTTTATCCAAATTTTAATCTTGGACTAATATCAATCTTGGAATTTGGGGTAAACATTTTCCTGGATGATATGCAGACTCATCACCCAGAGACGAGAAAACCAGCATTTAGATGGTTAGGTTTGAATGGAAAACCGGACAATGGAATTGCTAATTCTATGGTTTTTACCGAGTCTAAGAAGAGAGTCTTTGGGACTGATCTCACTAATGTTACTGCAAAGAGGTTCAAATTGGATGGAGGTGCTCAACATGTCCTGAAGCCACACAATCCAATGCGAATTAAGCAGGAGATCGAAAGTGAGGATGAAAGAACAAGATTGTCTGGAAGGAATTACCAATATGGCCCTTTTGCACCTGCCATTGTGCCCAAGGCTGGAGGTTCTAGTGATGAAAAGGAAAAACATGTTGTTGATTGGGAGAACCTGGCCTCTTCATACCGCCCTCAGTATCACAACCAAGGTATTTTGAATTTTGTTTCTCACATTAGAACAATTGTTACAATGCTATACTAGTTTTATTCTCAAGAGGTGAATTGTAATCAATGAATACTTTTTCACTTAGTTGTTACCTAGATGCAAGCTACTAAATCCATATTTTTTTAATAATTCTAAAATCTGGTGTTTATGCAGAATTTATCAAATTATGCATCAAGAAGCAACCTTAAACTGATCAATGTAGGTTTCGATCAGTTTATTATAAAATCTGTTCTGTATATGTTTGAAGTTTCAGGATGTATTGTCATGTGCTTTTCGAGTGTAAGTTAGATGTTTGCTGAAATGAAATTGATCTGTTTTGGGGCTATAAATCCACAATAACTGCTGAATGTATATTTTCTGATGTAGTTGAAAAATAGTGAGAATGTGTTCAAAATTTTGTATATGTAGAACTAATGTAATGGCAAATCACACTAAGTGGATACTTGTTTTTTGGTTTCTCTTCTTTTTCAGCTTTAAAGGATCTTTTTTCACATTATGTTGAAGCTTGGAAATCCTGGTACTCTGAAGTTGCAGAGAAGAGCCCGTTACAACTGATGTCCTAGACGTGTTTTTGCTTTCCGTTTATATTTGAGTGTTAGAAGTTTAACTAAGGAAACATCCAATCCTAGTAGACTTGGTGACTGGGGGCAGATAGCTTGATGATGAATGCATTTTTCTCAATGCATCAAAGTTATGAATCTATCATTTGTAATTTCTTCCTTTTGTTTTTCCTAGTACAAACTTGAGCTTACATATGATTTGACTGGGATCCACATTGGCATCCCTGATTTGTCTTCAATATGGTAAAACACTGTAAATCAATAGCAGGTTTATCAGATGCATCTCACATGCTGCAGTACTTTTGATTTCATTTTGAACTCTGCTGTCTTTGATACATGATATCCCTCACTATATATTAATTCAAAATGTGTTGAGCCTTAATGGCAGATTCTCACGCTTCGGATGTTGACATGACGAAAATCTATGCTTCGTGATGTTTATTTATTCATTTTTGCTTTGGAGTTAGATTTGGTATTAGACATAAATAACTTTATACTAACTCAACACCCGTGTACTACACGGGTAATGTACTAGTGTAAACTAGAAGAAACTCCAAACATAAGTGAAATCCTTAGAATTTCTTATATTTTCAAAATAAATAAATAAAATTATTAGGGTGGCTTTGAAATTTATACTCTTTTCTTCATTGTATTGCTGCTTGATATACATAAATTGAGATGAGCATTTCAGATTCACTTGAATTATAATGGAGATATGGAATTGGTGACTGAAAATTGAACAAATAAATTTTACATTTATGAAAAATCCGCACATTCACAACCAACATTACAAGGACTTAGTACCAAGTACAACTAGTAAGTAATATCTACAAGTTTTAAGCTTGTTGAGTATGCCATTGTATGGGCTATTGGGCGATTTCCGAGCACTCCAATCCAATATATCAACTATCAGACGATTCTCCAGTCTCTTTTGCCATTAATGACTTCAGCAATGTATCTCAACCTGTTAGTCAGAATGATATCAGTATTTTTCATGGACATAAGTTGAAAAACAAATTGACTTTATCGAACTTCTACAAGTATCGCGGAAAATAAATTGGACTTTGTCTATATCATGTTTTTCATTTGCTTATAGTAAGTGTTGATAGTTTTTGTTATTTTATGGAGTAAAGAAAAATAAAACCCATTACCCACCTCATTTGTACAGAAGATTCATCTCCTTGCCAAAATTCGAATCTGTCGGGTACGAGTCTGTATCCTCCCCAGTGTTGGGGCTTCAGGATTTTACTTCTGAAAGGCACAACACAACAAGATATAAGAGTTGATGCAGTGTTGGATACACACGTACACACATTGGAAGTGCCCCTTTAACATCATGAGTAGAAATCAACAAATGATTGAACGTCTAAAATTACAGGAGATATTCTTGGAGCGGTTTTGATAAACTAAACTACTGACCCCTGAGAATATTTCTCCTCCAATTCTTTACACTGCTGAAGCAGATATTCTCTTCCCGGAATTTCAGTGCTCTGAAATAAATCAAGAAATCGACTAGTTTATGCTATCTAGCATTTCCTTTTCTTTCTCAAGAAAATAACAATGGGCTCGGAACTCGAGTGAAAAATGGACCTGCTTGCTAACAGCTGGTGCAATTTGAAGCTCACGTGGACGGCTAGAGAAGTATTTCTCGGACTCTTCATCAGAAACTTTCTGCACAAACCCTTCAATTCTCACCTGAAAACTACGCGGAAAATCTCAGCCAGAGAATTGTGTAATTTTCCACTAGAAGTCCATTTAGGTTAATCGGCGAATTTATTCAACATATTAAAAAATTTAAAACAACAATGAACAATATTTGCCTGGCGATTCAAGGCACTCCAGTAGAAAAGAAGAGCTGCATGAGGATTTTCTGATATTTCACGCCCTTTCCGACTTTTATAGTTACTGCACCTGCACATTTGTGATGAAATTTATATATGTTAACACTAGAAAATAAATAGACGTGCCACCGATTATTAAGACCACAAGGGTTCTAAGTGGTACACTGCAATGTATTTACGGTTTGGTGAACTTGTTTTCAACCTCCAGCGAAGAAAATTATAAGGAAAAAGGCAAAAACGCTAACCATACAAATCCTCCTTGTTCAACTCCCTTTAGTTGGACCATGCGCGATGAACTGCATGAATTACACAACATGCAAACATAGTCAAAAGATCGACTGCTTAAGAGAACAAGATGGTGTTAAGAGTGCAAATCAGCAAAAGGCATTTTTTTTTCCTTTTTCGTTTTACACGATTAACATTTACAAGATGATAATTTTTTTCTTAATGACTAATTTTGTCCGTCAAAGCATCTGACTTAATAAGAACCAAATAAAGAAAGCAAAGACATGGATGTACTAAAGTAAGTCAGATCGATCAATTCTGTTTCATTATTAGTAGTCGTAAACGAAAGAAAGCAAATAGAATTAAACATACGGTTTCCCATCTTTCGTGGCAGTCGAGAGGGCCATAGCATCAGGTTCCTTTAGACCTGCTGCAACTGCATCGTTGAACCAAGCCTGGAACTGCAAGATTCAGCAATATTCTTACACCGCCACATACCGGAAAATTGCACTCACTATATTCTCAAAAGAAAACAAAAATATATAAATTCACTCACCTGAATAAAAGGATTGGCCTTCATGTCCTTATCAAGAAACTTAGGTGGTACTGAAGCGTTTTCATTATCTTGAGGCGGCTTTCCAATTCGAACACACGTAGAAGTGCCAGGATAAGGTGGAAGTTGCAGCTTGTATTTGTGTAAAATAGATGAAGGCACAAATCTTCCACCCAAAAAGTGGTGGGACCCACGAAACTTTTCCGCGCATCGCTTTGGAGCTGTTAAGGACACCTTCACATAAAAGTACTAAAGTATCAGTCTAGTGTTGGATTACACAGCCTTATCAACTGAAAAATGGAATTTTTCATGGATAAAACAAAAAGTCCCTAGGAAAAAGTACCAGCATATCAGGTTTAATGCCTTCACCACTCAAATCTCCATCTTCAACATGCCAGCCGGAAGGAATATCGACAGACACAATGACAGGAGATTTCTGATGTTCCTTGTAATAATGTTCTCTTAAGGATGCAATGTTATTTATCAGATGGTCAAAAGGTGGTCTAGGATTTCCTGTCGAATGTACTTCTCATACACAAGAAACTAAAAAAATTACAAAATTTACGGTGAAATTAACAGGAAGCTACCCTGGAAGGAGAAGCCAAATATTGCATCCACTAGAATGTCAAAGTTATTTAGCTCTGCAGGTAGGCATTCTATGGAAAGAAAAGGAATGGACAATGACTCGAGCTGCAAAAATAACTAACCATGAGTGAGTTTTTTACTTTTTTTTTTTTTCGAATGAGTGAGCTCATGGCCGTCGAACACGAATATTACCTACCTGGATAATAAGATTGGGAAACAGAGGTTTTGGTGTACGCTTGGGATAACAAATGCACAGCTTGTACCCAAAATGATGCAAATGACGTGCGGCTACAAGACCATCACCACCATTTTTTCCGGGACCACATATTACAAGAACACGGCTATATTTGTCTGGCTTGTAGACCTGTTACCACAAGACAAAAGATAGTCTAAACATGAATGCATGATTCATAAATCTCTCAATGTCACTGGGCTTTTTTCATAGGTGTAACTAATTGTTGGTATTGCAATTTGTACTTCACAAATAAAGGAAACCATATGAAGAACGTCCTCTGACTATTCCAAAACGTTCCTTTTGCTCGATATTTACTTATGTTCAGAACATGTTAAACCGTTCTATGTCTGACATTGTATTGCGAGGTCATTTAGAAATCATAACAGGAGAATCCATGGCAAAATAATCAGATTGTGTTTCATGTATTCAATTGCGAGAGTATGGGTTTGTAGGATAGGCCAGTGCAATTTGATTTAAACAAAGGAAAGCAAAGCAAACACGTGAGTGATTCTCTACATTGGAGAACATAAGGATCAAAATCTATAGCTTTATCACATTTTCATAACCAAGACATATTTTGGAAAGAAAGTCCTTAAATTTCATTCACCATTTAAATGCCCAAATGGAATCTTGACGTCTTTGAACCTCTAGATTGAGACTTCATACTCTGATCAAATAAACAAGAATGCCTTTTTCATACTCTTACAATCGAACTTCCGAGAGCTCGGATTCTATAAAACTCAAAAAACTTGTCATGTGTATTCCAAATTTAAAATTTGCCCGAACAAAATCCAACAGTATGTTTTCAACAAAACTAGGCATTATAATTACAGAAAGGAAGTGAACAAGTACATAACCAAAACATAAACAGTAAATCAAGAACAAAACGGAAACAACAACGAGCAACAGCCACCAATCAGGACATACAACTAACCTCAGCTAATGCAGATGCAACACTCAAACCATTAAGTTCCTGCCGTTCGAAAAAACCCATAACGAAAATCAACCATTAACAAGAACTTCAAAAAAAATTCCAGCTTTAAGCGAAAAAAAAGATGAAAATCGAAGTGGGTCTTGAAAAAGCAGAAATCTTTTGTAACTACTTTAAGTAGATAAGAACCATGAGCTGGTCGATACTGAAACCGAGTTGACCCGTTAGTAACTCATCGATTTCCACAGCTTGTTGCTGAGTCAGAAAGGATATGGGCTCTTGGTCCATTGTCTCTGACTGCAGTTTCTTGAGTTTGTAGCAAAATTAACCTATCAGGTTTACAGTGCCTCAAGCATCAGCTCCATATACTGCCATCTTTTTTCTGTTTAAAGTGAGTGAGTTTGAAATATGGCTTAGCATTTGATCGAAGTCCCAAAGGTGGGGGAAGAGAGTTCTGGACAGTGTTGGGCTGTAGTGGTGCTTTGGTGGGGGCAGAAGGGTCATTTTATTTCATTTACTTTTTTCTTTTTAATTTTATTATTAAATTATTATTTTTTAATACAAAACACAGACTTGGATAACAATGGAGGATTTTTTGTGCTGTTTTATTCGCAAAACAAACTACAACCTTCACTTTAACTGTAATTTAAATATAATTTTGTTTGTTTTAGTAATTTAAGGTATGATTTTTTATTATTTAAAACTAGAGTTGTACGAACCGAACGTTCGCGAACGAAAGCTCGTTTGAGCTCGTTCGTGTTCGACAAAAGCTCGTTCGTTTATTAATCGAGCCGAGTTCTAATAGGAAATTAGGCTCGTTTAATTATCGAACGAACACGAGCTCGTTCGTGAACGTTCGATTCTGTTCGCGAACATTAATTTAATATAATTTTATTTAATTTTTATATATTTATATAATATTTTTAATAAAAATCTAAAATTTAATATAATTTTATTTATTTTTTTATATATTTACATAATATTTTTAATAAAAAAATCTAAAATATAAAAATATTTTTATTTTATTCTTTTATTTTCGAGTTCGAACGAACAAATTTCAAGTTAACCAAACATATTTTAAAAGTTTATATATTAATTTATTCGAACACGAACGAACTCGAACTTTTACGAACAATTAAACGAACGAACTTGAAGACAATTTTTTTCTCGAAAAATAAACGAACAAACACGAACACTGTTCGAACGTAAACGAACACGAGCTCGAACAACCCAAACTCAGTTCGGTTCAGTTCGTTTACAACACTATTTAAAACTTAAGGCTCAAATTACACATCTTAGGATTTCCATAAACCGAGCAGATTAACTACTAATTCGGCTCAAATTCATCGGTTTAGTTCAGGTATATGGCCATCAGATTTCTATTTTAACTTTGGTTGCTCTCCCAAAAGCTCGATAAATCGTTAACTTAAAGACTGCAATAATGATCCAATTTTTCTCAATGTCATCATAGCTTAATTATAAAACAAAATATAATAAACATTTTAAAACTAATAAATAACCTCTAGTTATTTCAAGATGACTGGGAAGTGTACATATGTTAAGAATTTATACAAATTAACAATAATGTAATACTTAATATACCTTTTTGTCCACACAAACCACGTTGTGGACATTGTTGTCATACATGAACTCTGGCCATATTCATCAACAAGCGACGATCAATTACAACTTCATTGTAACAAAACTTTGCCACTAATTAACAAAATCAAGGCTCTTGGAATTGAATGGGAAAAAAATTGAGGATTTAGTCCTGTAACTGACAGGCACTAAATTGAGAAATAGTCTGATGCATCATGCATGGTTGGGTTAATTTTTACAGAACACCATATAACTGCAAGAGGATCGGATTTTTAGTCCTTCCACAGGCAAAAAGCCAGTCAATTTGACCGGCTACTGAGTTAGATATGTTAGTTAGTTGCCACATGTATGAAAAAACAATGAAAAACAATAGATATGTTAGTTAGCTGCAACATGTATGAAAAAAACATATGAAAAAAACAATGAAAAACAACAGTCACGTCAACAACCAATCACAGAACCAATATTTGCTAATGAACCAATATTTCTTGAGTTGTTTTTTTTTTTTGTTTTTTTTTTCATTTGGACTATTCATATTATCAGTACTAAGTTGTTCTCGAGGGATCGGGAGTATTTTTAAGTTCACGGGACGTGGCCAGAGAAGTAGTTGGTAGATTCGAGTATAGGTGTGGCGAGGCTAGAAAGGAGTTCTAGTTGTTGTAAGACCAAACTATGTAAGTGTGCACAATCAAGTTATCAATGAAGAGCTCTGAGGGATAAGTGGAACGCTCCTCAAAAAGTTTTTATATTTCGTTTGCTTCCGCTATTTTTAACTTTTCTAGTGTTGCTACGTAGTATATTATAATCTGTGTTAACACAAGTTGAGCGCAGTTAACTTTAAATGTATATTTTTCAGATTACATGCACTTTAAAAATTATAAAGTAATTAGTTAGTATTAATATATTTTATAAATTAATTATTTTTTATTATTTGCCATCAGTTTTTATATACATTATAAAACGTTTTATCGTTTTGCGATCCAACATTTGATATACATATTTATTAGTACAACGCCCGTGTAATCACGGGTGCTTGCTAATTTTCCCTTAAAATCTAAAATTAATGAGAAAAAGTAGTTGAAATTTAAATACCTTTTATTGAAATATATATTATTATATATTTAGTATGAGATTTTTTATTTGTGTGACTTACCTGTGTTATTTTAAAATAATTTTTTTTAATTTACAACATATAACTACATTAAACATAAATATATCAACTGAGAAATAATTTTATTTTTCTAATAAATTTTAGTAAATATTATTATTTTTTATTATTATAAAGATAAATATAATTTATTTATTTTATATATACAATATGGATGTCAAATCGAAGATCATGAAAAAATGATTAATTTGATATATTATATATGTAAAATCGATAACTTTATAGCTAAATTGATGGAAACAAATCAAAAGTCAAGGATATATTAGTCACTTAGAGCAACTCCAATGGTCCATGGATTGCTCATTTTTATTGCCATGTGGCATAACTAATCTTATGTGGCATTCAAAATGTCTAGAAGTCTTTCTATATCTAGAAGTACTTCTAGACATCCTCTATTATATTTTTTATTATTTATTAAATATATATATCATCCCCAACCAATTATAATGTAACACATGTCAAATTATACTAAAATTGACATTCACCATTGGAGACAAAATTTTGTAGCTCCCTTTTTCCATGTTATACATCTCCAAATAGACTATATACCATTGGAGATGCTCTTAGTGTCTCACTATGTAAAATTACAAAGAATTAAAGGGTTATATTAGTACAAGTGATATTAAAATACCTAAGTTAGCTAAATAATATTTATGGAATGTCCGAACCTAAATTATTAATTATTAATATATCAATATTATTTGTCCAAACCTAATTACGAAGCATGATTCTTCCAAATAGGATTCCGAAGCACCAGAAGCAGCCACGTAGGCTCAACGCATTCGGGAATTATATATAGGGAGGATTTAAGTAGTGGTAGGATTTGGATTTTTGGTGGTCTTCACATCTTTAATATATACGGTTCTGTTTTGGAACCAACAGTTGGTGGAGCCAATCTTCTATATACTTCTCTGATTACTTAAATAACATTAATATAATTTTATTAATATGGTAGATTTATTTATTGTATATAGAAGGTTAACTCCATTTTATTAATATATATTCATCTATGACGGTCCTTTTCAACTAGAAATAGATGTAAAAAAAGTCGCATTCTTGGTTTTATCATTTTCCAATGTGATAATTTTAATTTGGGTGTATGAATACAGAGACTTTGATTTAGTATGGCAATGAAGATGAAAAGTAGAAATGCTTCAATGTAATATGGTTTT